TCTGGATGTTTCTGCTCATTGTTTGCAGATTGTGTTAATAAAATACTTTTTTTCCCCATTCGGTTGTATTTGTTCTGTTAGCTTTGCAATGAAAAGCAGATAGTATAGAAAATAACCAGTACTTTGGGGGTGGCTTGTGATTCCCAGAATATTGGGCAGCAACAACATAGATGACTAATAGTTAAAACATATTTGTTTTAAAAAATCCAATAAAGATCAACTAATTGATATGCATAGAATAATGAGGAATTATATATTGTATACAGTTGTGTGTTTGCATATTGGGTATTTATGTTGGTATGCTTAATATATTTATATTCTATATGTACTTTTTCATGATTTCAGCCCAGTTGGATGGCATAGCACATCTTTGGAAACATTTAAGTTGTGTACAAATTTAAAGTACATATGTCTATGGTTGTAAATCAATTCCTTGATTGTACAAAAGAACAATCAAGAACTGTCTAGAGAACATACGAGAATGTTTTGGCTTCCAAAAGTGGCTACAGCTCTTGTATAGATTCTAGGGATGCTTCCAATGTTGCAACTATGTTATACATTTTTAAAACACCTTTAAAAGATTTCCTAAGATTGAGGTTAGGAAACCTGTTTGCTGTATCAGAAGAAAGCAGTTAAAGTGCTTGAAAAATGTAACTTTTTTGGGATTTTTGTTTATGGGGTCGTTTGGTTGTGTGTGTGTGCGCGCGCACGTGTGCATATGTGTGTGTATATATATGTATGTGTGTATACACACACACACACTTTTCATGATTTGAGCTGGATGGCAAGATCACAATCTCTCTCACATCACAATCTCTCTCACATCACAATCTCTCTCACATCAATCTCTCTCACTCACGGACATGAGTTGGTTTGGGAGACAGGATCAATTTGTTTACAAATCCTCATATTGGGGAGAATGCTTGATATAAATAAGATAAAGAAAATTTCATTAAACATAACCTTAAAAAGATACAGTAGAGTCTCGCTTATCTAACTTAAAAGGACTGGCAGAATGTTGGATAAGCAAAAATGTTGGATAATAAGGAGGAATTAAGGAAAAGCCTATTAAACATCAAATTAAGTTATGATTTTACAAATTAAGCACCAAAACATCATGTTTTACAACAAATCGACAGAAAAAGCAGTTTAATACACAGTAATGTTATGTAGTAATTGCTGTATTTATGAATTTTGCACTAAAACATCACAATGTATTGAAACAACTGTGGATCCAGGCAGTAGGCAGACTGTATTGGATAATCCAGAATGTTGGATGAGCGAAGGTTGGATAAGCGAGACTCTACTGTATAGTTCAATGTAACTTCAGTGTGAGAGGTAGGAGGAAAGTACACTAGGGGAGATGAAGAGGGATGACTGGAGACATGTATCTTTGGGACTTTCCATATGCAATCTTTCCAATGTATTTATATATTTCAAGGCATTCTCTCCTTGCTCTCCTCCACTCCCTTAATGTAATAATAATAACACTTTATTTGTATTCTGCCCTATCTCCCCGAGGGGACTCAGGGAGAATTGCAGCATAGACTGAACTGCTTGTTTCAGTGCCTTGAAACAATGAAACACAGACAAAGGCAAAGGCTTCCCCTTTCATCTCCGGCTCTGGGGGAGGTGCTCATCTCCATTTCTAAGCCGAAGAGCCTGCATTGTGTTGTCTGTAGACCCCTCCTAGGTCATGTGCCTGGCATGACTGCATGGAGCACAGTTTACCTTCCTGCCGAGGTGGTATCTATTGATCTTCTCACATTTGCATGTTTTCGAACTGCTAGGTTGGCAGGATCTGGGGCTAATAGCAGGAGTTCACCCTCTCCTGTGGATTTGAACTGCCAACCTTCCAGTCAGCAAGTTCATCAGCTCAACAGTTTAACCCATTGCACCATTGCAGCCTCTAATGAATACCAGATTTGGAAAGCGGACGCCCCTCCAAATGTTGTTGGTTGTCAACTGTTGTTGGACATCAATTCCCATCAGATCTAGTCAGCACAGCCAATAACTGGGGATTGTAGGTATTGCAACCCATCTGTCATTGCCTACCATTGCTTCTGAATTGGCACTGCAAAACTAAACCCTCCCCTCCCATATTTTGGGAGACATTACATAGGTGTTGGCCATCTAATAAAAAACATTTTAAAAGAATGGGGTTAGAAATAACTTTTTGTGTAGGCTTGTGTGTTGTTTGTGTTTTCAGTTTTGGTCAGAAGTGGAAATTGCTGACAGACGCTATACTGTGGTGAGAGTGGAGGATATTAGCATTGTCATATTGCTTTTTCTTTATCAAGCGTGGTTGACCAAGTTAGGTGCTGTAAAGTGAAAAACACTTGCCCTGGGACCTTTCCGCACTACACAGCTATAGTGTGATGTTCTGTTTTGACTGCCATGGCAACATCCAATGGCATTCTGAGGTTTCAGGTTTGCTCAGAGATACTCAAGTTCTGTGGCTGAGGATGTACCAACATGCAGGACTTTTTGGCATGACGTTTCTTTTCTTTTCTTTTCTTTTTTACGTCTAAAGGATATTTAATATTACTATTGTGAAATAGGTTATTTGAATGAGACAGTTGCTGTATACCCAGTAGTCATGTAAATTATACAATTTAAAACATCATAAAAATATTTTAAAGGATTTCATTGAAGAAGAACATCCAAACAAGATTGATATAGAGGTAAATCCAACTTTATGGTAGCATTTTTTCCCTATTTTTATTGCACTTGTTTGTTCCTGGAAGGTCAACATCTCAGCCCTTGGGAACTGTTGCCTTCATTTCGCATCAATCCTTTACATGTTAAAAATGGTCAAAACAGGGTTTTGTGGGTCATTTGCGAAGGAATGATCAAATGTGGGCATGAGATTACAAAGAGAAATCAGTGCAAGAATAAGGTTTGTTTTTTCCCCCCCTTGTGTCAGGAGCGACTTGAGAAACTGCAAGTCGCTACTGGTGTGAGAGAATTGGCTGTCTGCAAGGATGTTGCCCAGGGTTGCCCGGATGTTTTGATGTTTTACTATCTTTGTGGGATGCTTTTCTCATGTCCCCGCATGGGAGCTGGAGCTGACAGAGGGAGCTCATCTGCTCTCCCCCTGGATTCGAACCTGTGACCTGTTGGTTTTCAGTCCTCCAGACACAAGGGTTTAACCCATTGCGCCACCAGGGGCTCCTGTAAAGGTGTAAAAATTTTAAACTAAAATAAATCTTTATAAAAATAATTGTCAGATTTCATTCATTTTCCCAGTTATCCTCCAAACCCTCTGATAGTGATATTCTGATATCTTAAATGACAAAAAACCTGCTGCTTTTTTTCTTCTTCTTTCCGAATTATCTTTGCAATTTTTACTCCTTCCTTGTCTCCTGATCTCTGTCAATTTTCACTCCTTCCTTGCATTAATCTGTTAATGGAAGGGACAGCGATAATTCAATCAGAGATGCTTCGTCCTGTATTTTAAAAACTCTGTTTGTTGTATTAAACTGAGTGATCCTCTTTTCTTGTTCCAATATATTAAGTATTATGATTGCTATGGGATTTTCTATCTAATAGTAATTCAGAGTTTAAGTGTTAGTCATTTTTATATTGGGTATGTGTATGTGTACGGGCTGTTGTGTAGCGGGATAAACTGCTAAGCTGCAGAACCTCACTACCTCTGAGGATGCTTGCCATAGATGCAGGCGAAACGTCAGGAGAGAATGCCTCTAGAACATGGCCATATAGCCCGAAAAAACCTACAACAACCCAAAGATTCTTTCCCTCCTTTCCTACCAGCTCCCCCTGGCTGAATTAATGTAAACTTGCAGCAACTGAAGTAAGATGGTGGAAGAAAAAAGATGAGGGAAGAGATATTGGGACATCTTAAAAGCAGCTGAAAAAGTAGGATGACAGCAGGTTAATTGGGACTATTTCAGCCAAATCCAAACAGCTTATTTGTATGATTTTTGGGGTCTAAGAATGAACATTAAGTGACTAAAAATTCTTTATGTCAATGGAAGGAGATATTTGGGAGTTTTCTTACTGGAACATTGAGACCACTATTTCATTTCCAGTTACTGGAAGTGAACCTCCTCTGGACTCAATGGGACTTAAAGATTAGGCATATAGTTGGACCTCAATCCCCACTGATTCTGCATCCATAGATTCAACCATTTACAGCTTGAAAAAATATTTTAATTCTCACCCTTTGATTTGGTGATTTTATATAACTTTTTAGTAACCCATTCCCCTGGAATTTTTAAGTCTCTAAAATGCCTGGTGCTGGAAACTGTGACAACATTGCAAATTCTCAGATTATTTCCAGAAAAAAACACCAAGTGAGGTCAGATTATTGTGTTTTCAAGTTATTGAGTGTTACATCACTTGCTCTGGAAGAAGATTTTGAGATGAGGCTTGAAAAATAACAGGATCTCATGATTTGCCAGGCTTCTCAGAAGTAAGGGGAATTTAGGGGGAGAATCCTGTAATTTAAATACTTGGGAAGCAGATATTGCATGGTGGAAAGCAACTTTTTTTGTTTACATAAAATGAAATGAATATTTAAAGCTGTTGTTTACATTGGACGATACTGAAATCTTGCAAAACATTGTTGATATTATGAAATGAGTTGCTTACATGTATGACAACAAAAAGCTTGTTCATTGTTGTCAGTTGTCTCCGGGGCATTTATTACTGCAGGCACATTGGTTCTGAATGAAAATTCTGTGTTCGACACAAATAGCAAGCTAAACTTCTGGAAATGTTGGGCTGAAACTTCAATCCAACAGACCTGCTGTCCAACATATCTGGAGATACACAAGAGGGAGTGATTCTATGTCTCAAAATTGTGATGTGACATGTAGCACCCTGCAGACCACTCAGCATGAAATTAAATGTCTCCAAAGGCAGTCACCAACACTTTCTGCATGGTTTGTCAAAATGCAGACCAGGAGTTTTATAGTACTACTCGTGTTTACTGTGAATCCTGTTAAACAACCTCCATTCAATTTGTGTCTTAACAGCTTCTGAGAGGTCCATCTGTCCATCCTTAGATGAAGCATCCCCCTTCTCGGTGCCCTTGAAACCCTACGCATGGAGCAGCCTGGGAAGCTCTGAGCTGAGGCATTTGGTACAGAACTACAGGCCTTGCCCGGCTCTGGAACGGAACACATCCCTTGGTATTTTCTGTGAGCGGAGATCTGAGCCCAGTCTCTTTGGATCTGAGCGGAGCTCGGCACTGGGACTCTATGGGGACTTTGGTTCCTCTGGACTCTTTGAGCGCCCAGCTGCAGCCCCTGGCATCTATGTGGAGGCCTCCTCTGGACTCCACCAGGAGAAGAATGCAAGTGGCATCAAACTGGAATCAGAGCTCCTTTGTCGTCCCCTGTTGCTCAGTGGTTCCTACAAGTGTGTCAAGTGCAGCAAGGTACAAAGAGTGTTCTAGATATCCTTCTGTATTTTTTGCATTTGTACTCTGGTCATTTGAAACAGTTTCAGTTGGGGTGGTAATATCTGAGGAACAAAGTCAGATAGAGAAGGAGAGGCTGGTTAACAAAGAGATTCTTCCAACATGTCTGGCTTGGAAGATCTAATTCGGGAAATGGGATGCTTCAGATGGTTCTCTTTAATGGCTCACTTAAGCATATAAGAAAAGTTGGGTCAGACCAAAGGCCTGTTATCTAGTGCATCACCTTGTTTTATTCAAATTACTTTTGGGGATACCACAAATAGAACACAAGGGACCTCTTCACATGGGCTTCTTTTTGGCGGTGGTGGTGAGGTTTTGTAAGCTTGGCCATGGAACCCAACGACTCCCAACAAACCTAGTAAAACTACTTCCAGGGCTGTTCCATAGCCAAACTAGGGGAAAAGCCCTGCCACCGTCAGACAACGGGAGGCTCCTCGTCTTTCCATTAGGAAAGATGGGTTTAGCCGGATTTTGGAGGCTAATCACAATGGTGCAGGGCATGGGGCGACAGGTCCCCATGCCTTCTGGGCAGGCGTCACTGGAATTGCCACGATCTGCAGTGAGACTGGTGTGACAAGGTCAAAGAACAAGCACTCTCACCCATTATTTCATCCCCAAGAGGTGAAACTGAGGAATATGCAGCTGATTGCTTGAGAAGATTTTACAATTATAGTAATACGTTGTTGACTTTCTAAAGAGATGTACAAATAGTTTGCATTTTTTCAAATGGAATAATTTCATATATTGTTCAATTTTAGATGGTTGAAAAAGTCATGCAACTACAGTGTACACAGCATTAAGAGCAGCTCACAAGAATTAGTATAACAACATAATCATTATGTTAAGACAAGTAAAATATCTTAAAAGCATAACATCTAAAATGTGTATACCAACAGGAAATCCATTTTTACATTAGCATTTTAATTTCTAGTATTTTTCTTCAGCTTGATCAGGTCAGACCCTACCATCAAGCAAAATTAAGTGAAGCCCTAGAAGCAGATTTTGATTGTCATGACATGTCAGTAAATTATTTCTTATAGAGAAAGACTGCCATAATCATGGAACTCATGGTTTTCTAGGAATATTATTTATATAGAAGACTGCCATAATCATGAAATCTATGGTATTTCTAGGAATTTGCTATTTTCTCCAGGTGATTTTATGGTATATATCTCCTGGAAATTACCTTAAAGCCTGGTTGAAGGATGTAACAGATTTCTAGAGATGACAGCTCCCTAGGAATCTCTAAATCCTCCAATGTATGTGGTATGTGAGATCAGAAGTAATATAATAGAATGGTATTAGTTTACATCTGTGGTTTCATGTAAGCATTTTCCAGGCAAGAATGTATCCCTCGGGAACACATGGGTCTTGTTGTGTACTTCATTATTACTGAAATTTTATTGTTCGGGAGATATGTTTCTTGCATTTTCTACCACATATGTACATTGTGTGTGTGTGTGTGTGTGTGTGTGACAATCTGCTGCTCTACATCAGTCAGTCAAATAGCTTGGATTAATACCAACGTGGAACTAAACCAATACAAAGCAAACTCCATGCTCATCCTCTCCAAGATGTTGACTTCAAAATCTGCTGTGATTTTCAATCCAGTATCTCCACATTGCTTTTTTGTCACTGTCCTTTTTCAGGTCTTCTCCACTCCACATGGCCTGGAGGTGCACGTTCGCCGTTCACACAGTGGCACCAGGCCCTTCGCTTGTGAAATGTGCGGCAAGACCTTTGGCCATGCTGTTAGCTTGGAGCAGCATAAAGCAGTGCACTCACAGGTGAGAATGTGAAGGAACACTATAAGTAATCAGAAGGGGATGGACCTACAAATTTAGGAATCCCTTGGATGGAGAACATGTGAAGAAGATCATGTATACCTGGGGACTAAGCCTGGAGTCACCTCCCTTAGCCCAGCTGCGTAACTAGTGGCCAGACTGGGCAGTAGTTATCCAAAGAGCCAAACAAGCAATATTTCCTATGTTATAGTCCTGACCCGCCTTCCATGAATTCAGTGACAGAATCCCACATAGCCAGAAGACTTTGTTACTGGAGAAGTAGTTACATCAGTCTAGTTATATGGAGGGAGTTGATGTGAACTAACTAACTCAATTAATACATTGTTTCTTATCACTGGCCTGGAGGCTCTCAATGTCTTTTCCAATATGGTTCCCTCCAGATGTTGTGGTCTAAAACTTCCAACTTGGCTGGGATTGATGTGGTTTGCAGTCCAACATATATCTAGTGGTCTTAGGATGGGAAAATGTTGCTTGCAATAGCAGCCATAAGAAACTTACCAATAATCTTTCCCTGGAAAACCACCCAGTGGATATGGTATTTGGTAGCCTTCTTGAGGAAGAAGCCCCCAGCATTATGTATTAGCAATCAGCAAATTCTCTTGATGATAGAATTGTAAACTCCATAAAAACTCAATGAGAAAGCCAGTCATTTCTCAGTAGCAAGTCAAATGATGACAGACCCCAAACACATTGTTTCTTTAAAAATTCCTTCTAATTGGAAAGGCTGCAAGTGGTGTAACAGCTTCTCTTTCCCCATCTTATAACAGTAGCTGCTACATGATTGGTAGAAGCAACTCTGGCCATTAAGGCAATTGTGAGGATATTTGTGGTTAAATTATCCTGAAAGTTTGAAAGAAGTATTCTTAGGATCAGAATGAAAATCATAAAAAAGCCTATATGTTTGAATTATCCCTAATAAAGGAATAAAAGCATTGCTCTAAAAAGGATTTACTTGGCACGATTCTTTTGAAGGGAAATCCTGTTAATTTCAGCTGTACTTTTGAATTATAGCCAAAAGGGAATTACAGTATGAACCTTGTATCTGCAAGATTCATACTCGCAGTTTCATTTATTCGTATCTGACAACGTGTTCTCTAGGTACTTTTTATGATCTCCAGCACGACTCTGTAGTACTCTTGTGTCAGAAGTCTTTCATTTCAATTGAGTGTGCTATAATTCCTGGTTTTGCAGATCCATGTGAAGTCCATGAATATATCCCCCCACAGATATGCAAACCCTAGTGTCTTCAAGCAATCATTAAGGCTGGATCTACACTGCCATATAATGCAGTTTGGAACTGCATTATGTGCTAAGTCAAGACTCACATAATGCAGTTTAACCACATTGAACTGCGTCATGTGATTCTACACTGGCCATATAATGCCATTCCAAACTGCAGTGTAGATCCAGCATAAGATACAACAGTTGTATAACATGGCCGCCCAACAAGGGAAGACTGTCAAAAGAAAATCATATGGGGTTTTCATTTAGTGGTCAGGTCTTCTTAGAGTTATTACAGAGTTATTAAAACATTATGATCTGATGCCACAAGACAGTTGTTTAGAGCAGGGCAAATTTATCATAAATCAAGCTAGTTCAAGGCTCACTTGAAATTCGCATGACTTCCACATGAGCTTTTCAAGAGCTCCCTCCTCTCTTTCTTGTAAACATACATATATGTTTTCTGGGAAATTAAAAAGTTTGAATCCACAGTGGCCGTGCTGGTTTGGGAAATTTGGGAGTTGTACTTCAAAAATAATTTCTCCAAACTCTTATTCAGTGGCACTATATCTTGGGATGTCTTATTTAAGTGCTAGAAATCCTGAGGATAACATTTTTCTTTCAGAAGTAGCAAGACCAAGAGGCAGCTCTGAGCTAGGTTCATGGCAGAGAGTTTTTTCCACTCCTTCTTCCCAGCTGGAGTTCTGATCTGGCAAAGGAGCCTCCTCCTCCATCCATGTTTGCTGTTTGGATGGAGGAGGAAGCTTCCACATCTATATGTTCCAGAGGGTGCAGGATCCTTGAGTTAAACTGAAACTATGGCCCTGCTCTATGTGTTTTATGAACAAAGATACTTGCACCCCAAACAAGGCAAAAACATATGATTAATGTAACATCAAATTAGCTCTCATTTCATGGTTCTCTCTTTTCCCCTTTAAGTAGAGCTGAGCCACCTGAGCACACATTGGGGCATGAACAATTCTCTTGAGTCAATCCATTTGTCAACTCACTTTTCTTGACAACAGGTTTTGCTCAGATCACCTTTCTGGCCCATTTCATACCACAGACTTCATGGGCAGGAAATAGACTGTAAAATGCCTATCAAAATACATATGGTTCCCCGCAGTAATATATTGTTCCTTGTACAATAGTGTGCAAGCTGTGGTTTGTAACATCAAGTACCACAGCTTGGTGTAGGCTTGAGACCAGAGGGTCCAAACATACACACAATCACAAGGGAAGCATGTGGAGATGGGTAAAGCCAATGAGGGAGAAGGGAAAGCCTTTCTATAACAGGAACCCCAATCTGTATTACTACTTCTAACAACTATTAACTCTGGAGTCACTCCAGGTAGGAAAAGGGGGATGTGCCCAGGTCTCTGTAATCCAGATTAGTACTGATTTCCATACAATGATTCAGGGAATTTGAGGAAATTGGTGGCAAAATAGTCCAGGGAAGAAGGGGGGGGGGGAATAGAGTGGAGATGAGAATAATGTAGTCCTCTAGATGCTGTTAGACTGAAACACCTAGAGTTTTTTTCATCATTGAGTATGCTAGTCGGGGCTGTTGGGTGTTACAAGGAAGGCAACATGATTCCATTTCTAGGTTACAAAAATTCTCTCAGTGGGCGGCCAGAACCTTTCAGTCTGTCTGGTTTGAGAACATTAAAAAAAACCCTTTTTGAATGTCATCATGGCTATCACTCATGGCCGAATATGGTTGCCTTCCAAGTCTTGGTGGTGGGTCCATAGGTGACTGTAGAGACCTAGTCTTGACCTGCATGTTCTTTCGCAGTGAGGCCATCTATGATTGGAGATTCCAGAGACTGTACTCAAATATATATATATATACCAAAGCTCATAGTTCATTCCCCTTTAGGTTACTTGGTTTTTCACATGCTTTCAAATCTGTAGGGAATTTTAGCATGGTTGGAAAATATTGAACATGACTGTGATTTTTATATGTTGTCTAAACAGTTGACTTTCCATTCACCCTTCTTACGTTGCAAACTTTTTGGTGAGGGCAAGGAGGCACTGAATCCTCCTTTGGGTACCCATGTGCCTTGTCCAGTGAACTAAAGCCGGTTTCTTTCTGTAGGAACGTAGCTTTGACTGCAAGATCTGTGGCAAAAGCTTCAAGAGATCCTCTACATTATCTACACACCTTCTCATCCACTCAGATACCCGGCCTTATCCATGTCAGTACTGTGGGAAGAGGTTCCACCAAAAATCTGACATGAAGAAGCACACATTCATTCATACAGGTGAGTCCTGAATTCTTTATTTCTCCTGAGCATTGTAATGTTCATTTTCTGCTTTTGGGGATAAAAAGGTATCACTGTAATCTGATAAATGGCTTCCTCTGTTGGTACGAATTCCAAACAGAACATGATACGTGCTTCATTGGTGAACATTGTAGGGGTGTTCAAGAGAGTGGGGTGAGAAAACGTGTTCTGGAACATTGTAGGGGTGTTCAAGAGAGTGGGGTGAGAAAACATGTTCTGCCATTTCAGCTTTCCTCAAATGAATGCACTCCAGATGTTTTGAACTCCAGCTCTCTCTCACATTGTCCTGTCTGAGGATGATGGGGCTTGTAATTTCAACATTTGTCAAGGAGACTATTACACCACCCACTCTCATTTCTAAAGACCACAAATGTTTCCACATGGCCTTCTTTTCCTGTAGTGCAGGGTCTTAATGTTGTTGTGTGTCTTCAAATTCTTTCGAACTTATGGTGACCCTAAGGCAAATCTTTCATAGCATTTTCTTGGAAGGATTTGTTCAGAGGAGCAGTCCACGCCCTCCAAACTAATCTTGACAATAAAATTCTATGATAGATCTGTCTTAGAGTCACCATAGGTCAGCAACAACACACAACAACAACAAGACCTCTGCTGAGCATTAGTGAGTGTGACTTGCCCATGATCACCAGTGGGCTTCCAGGGCCGAGCAAGGATTTCAGCCATGGCTTCCAGAGTTGTAGTCCAAACCAGTTCACCATTCAAAAAAGATCAAACATGAGAAAGATGTGAAAAAGAAGGACAGGGTCTTGATTTGCTTTATGAAAAATGTTTTTTAATAAATGTTTAAATTGTAAACACAAGTAGAGTAATACTAATCTCAATAATGAAATTACACTTACATTTCACTCAATATAATGTGTCTTATTTACATAACCTTACCAATCCCAATTCCACACTTATCAACCACTTTTGTCCCACAGTTTTTTTCTTCCCCTCCCTCCCCCTTTGCGCCACACACACTGGGAACTGTTGCATCTTCTTCAGCTTCCCATGTGGGGAAATGAGAGAAATCTCCCTCAGGATGGTAAAACATGTGGGCACCCCCTGGGCAATATCTTTGCAGATGGCCAATTCTCTCACACAAGAAACAACTTGCAGTTATCTCAAGTTGCTTCTGACATGAAAAAAAAAATGAGTATGATTTGACTTGATCTGTTGTGAAAAATGTTACATCAAAATGGTACACATTTCCTATTCTTCTATTGAAAGCTCATGTAAGGTTCTTAGATGTCTCCCATCTGGGCAATGATCAGTTTTATTTTCCTCTCAGTCAGAGGTGGTCCTAGGTAATTTTCGATGGTAAGCAAACAGTATTTTGGCGACCCCCCCCCAAAAAAAAAACACCCACTAACTGATATATATTTTCTGTTCATCATGGGAGTTCTGTGTGCCATTTTTGGTTCAGGTCAATCATTGGTGGAGTTCAGAATGCTCTTTGATTGTAGGTGAACTATACATCCCAGTAACTACAACTCGCATATGTCAAGGTCTATTTTCCCCCTAAGAGTACCCCTGGGCAAAATCAATTATACTGCAAATGCTTACTTTGCATAATGGGTTGAGCCGCCCCTGCTCTCAGTTTTGCATCTCCTGGTGCTCCTGGCTCATTTGCAATGCCCACAAGCAGCCTTTGCTTAGTCACTGGAATCCATACAGTGCACTCAGTATTACTTTAATAGGATTCTCTCATAAAAGTTGTTCTGTTTGTGTCCAAGGTCTACTTCTGCAGCCCTAATTTGCATTGGAGATCTATGACTTGGGGAGGGTGTTAACTGTTACAAACCTCCCTCCCTCCCATGTTACCAGTTTATAACAATGGCAACTGCAATGACATCTTCCCTTTGATTAAACATGGAGAGAGTTGAAGAACCTGGTCCCCAACTGTCAGCCTCTGTGTTTGTTCAGGAACGTTCTTGTTTGTTGAGCTTTTCCAATGAAATAGCTTTAAGGCTAGTTGTGATGCCAGGTGAGGAACTATGGTATGTTAACCATATTTTTGATCAAGGTGGAAGTTAATAAAATGCAAATGTGGAAGTTGAATCAAAGTTTTATGAGAAAAACAGTTGCAGATGCTCTGATTTTTCCTTGAGAATGCAGAGCTGTTCAGCATCCTCCTGTCTTGACTTCAATAAGGATGAATTGCAAAGATGTTCCAATTAAATTGAATGATTGGTTCAAAGCTATAGTCCAGATGGGGATTGGGTGAGATCTCCGGGTGTTATTGGGCTGCAACTCCCATCAGACCCAGCTTACATAGCGAGGTGTGAGGGATTGTGGGAGCTGTAGTCCAGTAACGTGTAGAACAGCAGTTCTCAACCTGTGGGTCCCCAGGTGTTTTGGCCTACAACTCCCAGAAATTCCAGCCAGTTTACCAGCTGTTAGGATTTCTGGGGTTGAAGGCCAAAACATTTGGGAACTAACAGATTGAGAACCACTGATGTACAGAATCATGTGTTGCTGATATGTTACATAGGGCTTTCTAAAAGACTACTTATACAACAGTGTTATCTGGTACACATTGTACTGCAGGAAAAGGCAGTTGTTGACAAATCTAGCTCACAGTGTCCAATGGTGTTGTGAGTCTTCTAAGCAGAATCAAACTGCAAAAATGTGGTTGGGTCACTTACCTTGATAACAGTTTTCTTCCCTGGGTTGTTGTAGGTTTTTTGGGCTATATGGCCATGTTCTAGAAGCATTCTCTTCCCGTCCTCTGCCTCATTGTGAACACTTTAGTACATTATCCGATGCAACTTTAAGTGTGGAGCCTAAACATTCTTTAATGGGGTTGCTACAACAATATGGTATTATTAGTTGAGCATCTCTTATCTAGTAATCTGAAATCCAAAATGCTCCAAAATCCTAAATTGTCCACATGGGAGGCTGAACTAGAGATACTTTTGCTTTCCGATGGTTTAATGTCAATAAACTTAATTTCATAGACAAAATTGTGTGTAAAATTACTTTCAGACTATGTGTATGAAACATAACAAATTTCATGTTTACTCTTGAGTCCCATCTCTAAGACATATCATTAAAGATATTTCCAATATTACAAAATCCAAAGACATAAATACTTATAGACCCAAGCATTTCAAATAAGAGAGACTCATCCTGTACCATTAATTCTCCTGGTGGGATGATCATTCCCATTTCAGGCAGCACAAAGGGACAGTGAAATAAAAAAAATGAATGATGATACTGCCAGATTAAAAAAGTGAGCTTTTCTAGCTCAGGTGCCAAAATAACTTGAATAGCTAACTAACTAAAGTATGACTTTGAGTGCCATTTACTGTTTGCTTCAACCAGCAAAATATCAGGCCCAGCAAGTTCTAAGGAAAGTTAAATGTTTGAAACATGAAAAATATTCAAAACAGAAAAAAATGCAGTTCAGTGTCCCTAGAGCTGGGACCTTTAAGCCACAGCAGTTAGTACTGAAATTTAGTTCTCATCTGAAATAGAGATGTTCATTGCAAGACAAACAGGGATAGTGCTGCATTGTAGTACTAATGAGCTCGATTAGGTCTACAAGGCTTTCTTAAGTTGGATTACTAAGGGGCTTTCCAGACAGGCCTTATATCCCAGGATCTGATCCCAGGTTTTCTGCTTTAAACTGGATTATATGAGTCCACACTGCCAGATAATCTGGGATAAACAGAAAACCTGGGATCAGATCCTGGGATATAGGGCCTGTCTGGAAGGGGCCTTAGGAATTCCACTCTTGGAGGTCCTCTTGCTTTCCTGAGGTACCCTACCAAGAAAAGCAATTTATTATATTTATTGCAATTAGGATCACACAGAAATCATATTAGAACAAATGGCATTGTTTAAAAAATGAATTAAATCCATATAATTTTTTTTAACATTGAAAATCAACTTTTCAAATCAAGTGCTAAGAAAACAAGCACATATTTTTGTACGGATTTCATTGAGGAAGACTTGTGGGAAATGCAGAAAAAATGTTATTGGCTTAGGAGGCTTTAAATCTACATCACAGGATGGTTTAACGCATTGGTTCTCAACCTGTGAGTCGCCAGATGTTTTGGCCTTCAACTCCCAGAAATCCTAACAGCTGGTAAACTGGTTGGGATTTCTAGGAGTTGTAGGCCAACCTGGGGACCCACAGGTTGAGAACCACTGGTTTAACAGATCATGTTAGTTGAGGATATCTGGTTATGATGTTGTCTTCTCAGGGCACTGGGATGTTGTTCAGAGGTTATAGTGCACCTCCTCTTCTGCCATTCAGGCAAGTTCGCTGGTGAAGTTATCTTGTGTAATGGGATTCCTTTCTTATCCTTATCCTCAGGTGAGAAGCCTCACAAGTGTCAGGTGTGTGGCAAAGCTTTCAGCCAGAGCTCCAACCTCATCACTCACAGTCGGAAACACACTGGCTTCAAGCCCTTTGGCTGTGATCTCTGTGGTAAAGGCTTCCAGAGAAAGGTGGATTTGCGGAGACATCGGGAGACACAACACGGCCTGAAGTGAGAGCCTCATGGAATCAGGGGAAATCAACAGAAACACTATGTCAATGCATTTTCCCTTCTTCCTGGTGGGTTGCCCTTTCCTTTCATCAACTCTCTGGATGTTTGACCCACTTCCAACCATGCTTTTACTAAATGGGAAATTACAGCATGTTGGTTAGGTTTTGGTAGAACTTAACCCAATAAGTCTTGGGGTGAAAGGAGAATGTCATGGTTCATGAAAGGCAGGATGAACCCTCTTCTCTTTTTTCATTCCTTTAAAACATTGTGGGAAAATAATATACTCCCCACCAGCTTGAAATCCCAAAGACACTGTATGGATAAGGCTACCTGGTGCCTGCAAACCAGAAAGTCCTCTCTCCCTGTGGATTTGCCTTAACTAATTCTTTGCATACCTCATGGGGACGGAGGAATAACAAAGACTGTACATTCTTTTATTTAGTTTTACCGTGTGTTCTTATGTTCACTGCTGAATATTTATTGGAAATAAGTTTTAAATTAATAAAGTATAGAACATTTTCACGAGTAGTATTTATTTCTACATAAAACATTACTCAAATTGGTAGTATGGTTCTAAAATGGATTTATTTGGAAACCAGAGCCGCAAACCAATGGACTCATTCCCTCAAGGATATAGAGCAGCGGTTCTCAACCTGGGGGTCGCGACCCCCAAGGGGGTCGTTTGGCTATTTCGGAGGGGTCGTGAGGCTGCCTCCTTTGGCCCCACCCCAAGTCTTTGACCCACCCCTCAAGGCTTTGCACAAGGCCAGGCCTAGCGTGAAGGAGCCCTCACCTGCCTTGCACTCTCACTGGCCAGCAAGGGTGCGGGCTCATTCGTGCAAGGCCTGACCTTGCGCAAAGCCTGCCTCGCCTGCTTTGCACTCTCAAAAATAATTTTATGGTTGGGGGTCATGACAACATGAGGAACCATATTTAGGGGTCACAGTGTTAGAAAGGTTGAGAACCACTGATATAAAGGTTACAGCAAATAGTGTTTTCTGCTATGGAAAGTATGGTAGGGCACCCCTGTTTGTACCAATTGGGGCATGTGGAGGCGCTAAGACATATTGGCCATTATTCTACATCATTTACATTGTGCTATATACTTCCCAAAGTAACGTGATTGGAACATTATTCACCTGTTCGTCAATCATTATCACAAAATGGATCTCCTTCTTCTTCTCATGCATCTGATACCTGGTAAAGTAGGGTTGGGGAAGAGTTATGATTGTGGTGATAGTGTCACAACCAGAGCTAGGATTTAAAAAACAATGTAAGTGAGTTGCTGTGAGTTTTCCAGGCTATATGGCCATGTTCCAGAAGCATTATCTCCTGATGTCCGGAGAGAATGCTTCTGGAACATGGCCATACAGCCCGGAAAACTCACAGCAACCCAGTGATTCTGGCCATGAAGGCCTTTGAAAACACAAACAACATGAGTATTAGAGCTTTTAATAATCAGAGACCCTAATCTGTGGCTTACTTAGTTTTGCACCTTTCTGGCTCTTTTAACAGACTTAACATGGAACTAATTTAGAGGTATAGAATAAGTATAGTCAATCCCCCATCCCCAGCAACAACACTAAATGAAGCAGAAATCAATATCTTAATTTTAGGTTCATCTCTTTATTTATTTCTTTAAAACATTTATATTCTGTCCTTCTCACCTCACAGGGGACTCAGGGTGGAGTACAGCATATATATGGCAAACATTCAATACTGGGACATAAAACCATACGCACGCGCACACACACACACACACACACATTAAAATAATTTATATTCACATTAAAAGTTGCTTAAAAACCACCTTAGGGCACCATTTTGCCTCATTGCACTGCCCCAAAGGCTTGGTCCCACAGCCAGGTCTTCATCAACCTTCTGAAGGACAGGAGAGAGGGGGCTGATCTGATATTGCTAGGAAGGGAGTTCCATAACTGGGGGGCAATCACAGAGAAGGTCCTATCTCTTGTCCCCACCAAACATGCCTGTGATGGTGGCGGGACTGAGAGCAGGGCCTTCCCAGAAGATCTTAGTTTCCTCAGTGGTTCGCAAACTATCCCTTTACTATGCAAGCAATCATCTAGGAAGTTTGGATAGAAACTCTGGAAGAATTTGTAGGTTTGCCTCAATAATATGACCTATAGACACAGTAACCAAAATAACTGTTTCAAAGAAGACTTGTTTAAAACAGTAAAATGAAGGATAAAAATCTCAATAATCTAAACCTCTAGGAATCAGAACAAATTATTGAAGCTGTTATGGTGTGAAACTTGAAGATTGCCAATACCTTTCTTAATGTCATTACTTTACTTGTATTAAAAATGCATTGTGTATATTACGTGACTCATTATTCATGAGATGGGTTCCGTACCTTTGTCTGCCGGAGTAATTGAAGGAAAAGGTAACAGGAGCCGGTGTGGTGCACACCTTTGTTCCTCCTGCTGCATTTTTAATGACGCCTCCAGCCAGCCAGTTGGTGAAGCTCTGTGCCCACAGAAGAGTGGAAAGGCAGAGCTCTCCTAGTAAGACTAACCCTTTCAGGAGCTAATTTGAGCTTGTGTTCATTCACGCCAGCGGTGATTAAATTACCTATCAAGTGTGCTGTGCTATCATGATTCAGGACTTTGAAAAGCAAGGTGGATTTCACCTGATTGATTTGAAATACAAAGGGATGGAGTGAAGAACAGATGAAGTGAGGAAAGAAACAACAAAGAAGAAGACATCTTTTGCATTATGATCTTATTTTGGAAAGCTCCTATAGGAAAATTCGTGATTTTTTCTACCTTGCAAGTGTCCAAATTTTATAGAATCATGGAATTGTGAGAAATCAGAAGTGTCATCCAATCCAACCCTCTGCCATGCAGAAATACACAATCAAAATACTCTTGACAGATGGCCATCTGGCCTCTGTTTTAAAACTACATTACACTCCGAGGCCACATATTCCACTATGTATGCAATGAGCAGGAAGTTCCTTTATGTTTAGGTGGAATATCTTTTGTAGTAAATCGAAGCCACTGCTTTGAGTCCTATTGTCTGGAATGTGGCATAACGTAAAATAAACCACGTGTAGTTCACGTTTGACCAGCCCACACACTGCCTTGCTAGAGAAAGAAAATATGCCACACAGATGAACAATAAAAAACAAATAGTTTACTCTTCATAGTTCAGAAAAACATATGTACAATCATGTGATCAAGTGCATCGACTCACATAATGTCCTTTTATTAGAGATTTAAAATGGTCTTTCTTTGTCCATGTAGAGAAACTCCTTTTGCAACTCATGAAGCGAGAGCACATTCCAAACTCTGTTTCTCTCTGCTTCTCTCTAAGCATCGGCATAGCTCAAACCTGAACAAAAATGTAACAGTAACCAAAAGTCCCAGGCTCAGCCATCTGCCTGGGCATTGCCCGACCAATCAGTTTAATGCATCTTATTTTGCAGTTCACACACACACTGATTCCTTGCATGCTCCAACATGGAACAGCAGAAAATAAACTTGCTCACTCTTTAATTTGACTTCTTTTAACATATTTAAACATGGCTATCATGTCACCTGTTCTTTTATTCATTCATAGTTTAATTTTCTCATCTGGGGAGTTCTACAGAGTGACATCTACCTGTATGGGAGCTGAGAGTAGCAAGGGAAGTTAGTTAACCTGGGGTATGAATTGTGCTACTCTCCAGATGTTGTTAGCCTACAACTCTAGCACCCTTAGCCAACATAACGGTAAGAAATCCTGGTTATTGTAAACCAACAACAATGGGAAGGATGCAAAATTCCTGCTTCTAGGTTAAACCAACCTGCCTTAAATTGTTGCCTCCAGATTTGTTGGACTAACTATGCAAACTAAAGATGGTAGTGATTTGAATCCAATTGGAAGGTATCAGGTTAGAGGCAACCTGGGTTCAACTGAAAGATGTCACTGAGCCAATGCCACCAAATGAGTTTCATAGTTAAGAGAGTAGCTGAGCCTAGCTTTCTCTGATTCCAGTCCAAATCTTTCTAAAAAATCAATGATAATACTCGGGTAAATTACTGAAATGCACCTTCATATAATCTGATTAGGGCCCCCTGGTGGCGCAGCAGGTTAAACCACTGAGCCACTGAACTTGCTCACCAAAAAGTTGGCAGTTTGAATCTGGGGAGTAGGGTAAGCTCCCGCTGTTAGCCCCAGCTTCTGCCAACCTAGCAGTTCAAAAACATGCAAATGTGAGTAGATCAATAGGCACAGCTTTTGCAGGAAGGTAACGGCACTCCAATTAGTCATGCTGGCCACATGACCTTGGAGGTCTCTACAGACAACGCCAGCTCTTTACTAGAAATGTGAATTGGGGAGTTTCATGTATCTATTGTGTATGTTATTTTTACTCCTTTATTTAGTGCATTATATATATGTGATAACATCCTGAAGAAGATAATTTTTCGAAACAAGGAGAACATACCGGGAGACCTTGTAGAAATTGTGTTACCTAAGGAAGACTCTGCTGCATAAGAAGTACTCCTTAAAAGACTGTGTTGCTAAAAGAAGAATTCTTTTGAGGATAAAGACAGAGACTGTTGAATTCCTGCACTGAAATCTGACTCCAGGAAAGGATGGACTTTATTATCTCTAGTCTACTATTCATTGCTCTATGTTGATAAGATAACCTACATTTACTTATAATGTGCTGATAACATTACTGTTAAATGCTATAAATGCTATAAAGTCTAGACAATTTACTCCATTAGAGAACATATTATCCTGATTTATATTATTTTCTTGAGAGTCTTATAAAATACACATACATACATTCTTGTTTCTATGTTACTATAAATATTTGTGCATTGTTTGCTGTGACTTTTAAGGTTCGCATCCGGGGAGAGGCGGATGAGCTCCCTCTTAAGCTCCAGCTCCTCATGCGGGGACATGAGAGAAGCCTCCCACAAGGATGATAATCATCAAATCATGCGTCCCCTGGGCAACGTCCTTGCAGACGGCCAATTCTCTCACAACAGGAGCGGTTGCTCCTGATACGAAAAAAAAAAACTGCAGTTCTCATATGGAGACTGGGAGGTCTGCAAAGATGCATCCAAACTCCTGGCATTAAATCTAGCTTGCATCTTATTTCTTTTGCTGGATTTTTACCAGATCTGCTCATTGCATACATATAAACTATATGGAGAACAAACATTAAGCTGAAGGAGAAGACGCCTGCATCCATAAAAATATGAGGCACACCTCCTATGGGGACATTTACAGCCCATTGTCTAACAAAGATTAACTTGGTGACACATATAAAAATCTTTCAGAATAAAATGAGGGAAAGGGGGGCTCAATGGATGGATAAGTGGTTGAATGTTCTCCTCTTTGCAGTCTTCAACAGTGATGAATTAAAAACAAAAGGGCAAAGGTTGTGTTTGTTTATGGGCTTGAATCTTTAAATGATTTTTGCTGCAACTCAAGCATGCGCTTTTTAAAAAATGTTTGAGATCATAAACCCTTCCCTTGCCAGTTGTAGCACCAATACCTCC